GAAAAAGACCCCCCCCCCCCCCCCCCCAATCTCTTGAGCACACATCTGCAGCGCTTCCTTACTTCTCCTGCCTTACAGAGGGCTCCCTCAGCTTCACGCATCCTCCCTGGGAGTCGGTGTCTCTCTCTGAGCCCTGATGTGCTTCAGCTGAGCAAGGGTATTCATTCCCCACAGGAGCTCCAGTGCTACTAATGGAGCGGGACCCCATCTCTTGCCCCTTATGTCTGCAAAGCACCCCCCACTGCTCCTGGAGGATTAGCTTCCTCCTCTCCCCCTTCTGTAAGGCTGCTCGGGTCCCAGCCGCTTCCTCCTGCAGCAGCTGATAGCCTCCTCTCCTGCCCTCCCGGGCTCAGGCAGGAGCCACGGTCCTTCAGACAAGGTCCAGGGAGAAGCCAGCAGAAGCAGTACAGTGAATGCACACCCAGAGCAGCATCACAACAGCTCTGTGTTTCCTGCAGAGCAGCCTGGCTTCCCACCCCTTTCACCCTCCAGAAATGACAGGGCTTGCGTGTGGACTCTGTATAGCCTTCTGCTGGCCCAGAGCTGGGCCAGGTTGGCCGTGGCCCTTCCCCAAAGGCCTCGGGTGGTGGTGTGGGACCTGCTCTGCCCTCCTCCCAGCAGTGCTCGTGCATTCGCTGCGTTTCCAAAGCCACAGTCATGGTGCTTTGTAGCAAGCTCTCCTGGCCTGGCCCTGGCATGGAAGATGTGCATAGGAAATGTTCTCTCAGGATTGAGTGAATTCCTGTGTCTCACTGTTGATGTATTCTGCCTTGCTCTGTGTCTTATTCTCCTAGCTTCTCTGTGCTCAAAAAGTGGATATGAAGTGTTTTTTCAGCATGCAGAGCTACCTTTCCTCACCATGGCTCCCTAGGACCAGTTTCAATGGTCGGGGCATCAATTCACTGGGGTAGCAGTGCGCTCGTAAGGCTTCGTGTGCTCCCATCATCCCTGCAGAGCCAACACAACTGCCACCTTCCTGCGAGGCTGCAACCATGGCCCGCTCAGCCATGGCCCAGGCTGGCCACTGAGCTATTTTCCACTTGGAAGAGAATATTCGATTTGAGTCACCAAGAGCCAAAACATAGGGAGGTGCAGAACATTTTTTTTAAATAACTGCTTTTTAGAGCAAACCAATGTGTTGAGCAATGGCGTGAAATGAAAGTCAAGGATTTTAACTCCTGAGCTAAATCACAGGCAAGTTTGTGATACCGTTTAGATGACCTCTCTTCTCAGGCTCTTCAGCATACTTTAGCCTTCCACTGGCAGTGAAGGAGGACTTGGTATTAAGCATTCTCAGAGTCCTAACCTCTGACAGCGATTTAGTAGCATAACACTTTACACCCTGCTGTGAGTGATAACTTCCTAAAAAAAATAGAACTAGCTGAAGCATCTGGAAGAAAGGTGCTAATGGCAAACCTTCGGCCCTAAATGTGCCCAGCTCAAGCACTGATGCTTCTAACCAGCTCACTGAAATGAGAGTTTTTCCATTGTCTCCAGGCCTCAGCCTGATGTCATCACTGGAGCACTGTGACTTACTCTCACTGCAGTGGTAGGCGGCTGCAGGTTTGGTGACTTTGCATGTGGAGGCAGCACCAAGACCCTGACAACCAGCTTTGGGGGCTGTGGTGACGTGTAGTCATGCGAGGAGTCTGGTGTGGGCTGACTTGATGCCCCCCTCCTGTCCTCTCTGCTTTAAAAGGGAAACCAAGTCAAACTTCCAAGTCAAACCCTGGCCATGACTGTACCCCTGCCTGTTCTGCAGAATTAATCAGAAGACTGAGAAAAAGCATAAATTTGCAGGCAACAGAAAAATGACAGTGCTGGATGGTGAAATACCAAGGAAGTTGGAATTCATATGCAACAAAATCCTTCAAAGCCTTTTGTATTTGCCCTGAGAAAGAAAATGCATTGCACTAATCAAGCACTTTTCAAGGCATTTTACAAACATGAGCACTCACAGCATCCCCATAACACAGGTCAGCATTAATACCTCTCTTGTAATCAGACAGATTGACTCCTGTCCCACAGAGTGAATCAGTGTCAGTCTGTTGCGTCCAGGGAGGTCCCTTGCTCAATCATTATTCCAAATGCCTCAAATTCCTCTCTATTTTATTATGCCTCTGGCTGTAAAAATAAAATGCTAGCATTTCCTTCAACACCAATTCTGCTTTTCCAGGAGAAAACCAGAAGGTGGCAGTTAGGAGGCTCATCACCTACAGGGACATTCCCTCTTCCTCTATCAATGAGCTCCACTCTGATAGCAAAAATGACATTCCTGGAACATCAACCCCCCTGCTGTGATCCCTTTACCATGCTCTAACAAAAAAGACTCAAGGACAAGCAGGATGTACAACTAGTATTCGTTGAGCTGTAAAAGCCAGAGGATGTCCATTTCCAGCACAATCCCTGGCTCCTCGCAGTCTGGGATGCCCTAATAGGGGAACATGCACTTGAGAATACACCTTGCCGGTGTTATTGCCTAGCAACATTGCACCCAGCTATACCTTGATTTGCTGGCTAAAGACATTTGTGTTTCCACTCCTTCAGATCCTCTCTTCCTCACCTTGGTCCTTCAGGCTGCTCAGAAAGTATTCACTCTATAAAAGTAGGTAGATAACCACTTGGCTGAGAGTTTCTGCACCAACGGGCAGGGCCTCATTTGCCAAAGCCCAAGAAGGTTATGCAGTTCCCCTGGGTTAAAGCAAGCAGTGAGACTGGTATATTTATCAGAGCAGAAGGCAGACAGGAAGAAGAATTTCCTTTGGTAAAGTTTACCACTCAATATCTGCAGCCCTGCACGGCTGCTCATGTGGAAAAGCTGGTACCCTACTAAATTTTTTCTATTTCATATTCTGATTCCATTGCATTCACAAGGTTTTCATACTCAGGATTTTTCCTGATGCATATGCTGTCACGGCCGTTGTCTTTCATGGCGAAAGCGTCATTGGATGTTTCAGTCTTAGAATTTGTATCCTTGTGTAGGCACTTAACAGGCACTTCCACATCAGTCTCCAATCTTGTGACATCTGCAGTGCTATGGCTGAAACAACAGAGAGACAATATTGAGAAGGACGACTAACTCGGAAGCAATTTGATTTACATCTTAGTCAAACACAAGATCTATCACATAATCGGTGGAACAGCAAAATTTATATTCATCTAGTGAGGGCCTGGGAGGCTAGACACTAGAAAGTAACATTAGAAGAATTACACACACAAAAAGAAGCAATAAACAGTTAACATTGGTACCATTAAACTCTCATGGCATTATCATATTACACTCAAAAGAGTTACCAGCAGATAGTCTAGCCTTTAGAAAGTAACTACCAGTAATAATTGCAAAAAAATGGCAATGTGTGAGTCTACAGATGGCTAAGGTATGTCTCTGAATAGGAAAGTAGTATGAAGGGATTAAAGGTTGAGATTAGGACAGGGCAGAAGATATGTTCGTATAATTGTAAGCAAATAGGAATTGCACAAAATAATACTTGGATAAGCACTGGGACATGTTTCTTAAAGAGAAAGGCATGTATAGAAGGAACTTATCTCGAGGGAAGAGCTGAGAATTCCTGTCTTTTGCTTTGTGAAATAATCGTGGGAATTTACTGCAGAGGACAGTTTTCCCATGGCATCTGCAAGGCAGAGCGAAGGACCCAGAAAGTCTTTCTTTCATGCTAACATATTAAAGAACACTCTCTCTTGCTACCTCCTGCACTAAAATGTTAATGTCCTCATGCTGCTAAGTAAATGGACTGTCAAGGTATTCAGATCCTCCCCCAGCAAGTCAAGGAAATCTTTGGCTTTTCACTGAGCAAAGAGGCTTTTTGGAAATAGACATCAGTGTGATTCTATGATGCCCTCAAAGTCTTCTTAGTGAAAAATTGTCCCAGGTGAAAAATGGTACTCACAAAGCAACTTCATAGAGAGGTTCTGGGGAAAAAAAAGGAAGAATCGAAGATGTCCATCAACATATTTTATGATTAATGTGCCACAGGAAAAAAACCCCAGCCGCTCCCAGGTATTCCCACCTTCAGGAATGACGCTCCCACCCTGCCCCTCCCTAGAAGGGACCAGCTGGGGCTGGGGGTTGGAGCAGGGGCCGGGGCTGGGGCCGGGGGATGG